TTTCACGATAACTGACTTTTACAAAATATTATCGTATATTAATAAAAGTTCACTTCACTATATATATTAACATATCAGTAATATTCAGTGAAGATTGCAAGTGCTTCCGTTGAATAGGTTCTGAGAAAATGGTACACGCATTTTTAAAAACACCGTTTTGAGATAATTGCATTTTTATTATAAAATGTCACTTCATCAAAAAATTATGAATTACAATCTGTATTTGCACTATTTTTTTAAATATTAGCTTATTCTCAATAACTTTAAGATTTTTACTTATTTCTTTACTTAGATTTCTCAGAAAATACATGTATAGCGTTTTTCACTTTTAATCTATCGAGAATATTTTATAGCATTTGCATCATTTTTCTCAAATTATGCATCAATTTTTGAAGAATTTTCTGTTCTGATACATTACTGTCATCCAAGTTGACTATAAGCATCATAAATACCATGTAAAAATGTGTCAATACATGAAAATATGGCTTTGGTAATACATAATTATACGACATTTCGAAAAATTTCATTAGTGTTTTATAAATTCACATGTAAACACAATTTCTTAAAGTATCAGAATTAAAAGGATTCTTAAAATATTACATAAATGGTATCCAAAAAAAACAACAAGAAAACTGATTTTATGTTTTTAAACATGAAATTTGTGTATTTTTTGTATGTAACAAGTTTAGTGCAACGAAAAAGGGCATTGCATTTTGGGATATATTTATGTACCTTTTACTAAGAAACTTTAGAAAACAAAGCTTAAAAATTTGTGTGTACATTAAATAAACATTTATCTTTATACAGAAGTGAAATTTTTTTTTAAAAAATTGATCAGTATGTTTAAAAATGTAATTTTGTAGAGTAGAATAATGAATTTTATAAAAAGTTTCCTTTTCTATGTTACGACATCTGCTTTTCAGCTAAATGTCTGAGGAATATCTCAAAAATTTCACTTCAGTATATATAATATATATGCAATATAAAATAAATATTTCCAGTTCATGCATACAATTAATTTATAGAGAAAGAAGACACAAATTAAAAAATATATTCTATATAAGACAGTAATACATTATATGGCACTTCGAAAAATTTCTTTAGTGTTTTGTACATTCACATGTAAACACAATTTCTTTAAATATAAGAATTAAAAAGATTATATAAATATTACATAGATAGTATCCAAAACAACAAGTAAACTATTTTTGTGTTTTTAAACATGAAGTTTATGATTTTTTTTGTATATAACAAGCTTCATGCAACGCATTTTGAGATATATTTGTGTGTGCATTAAATAACATTTATTTTTATACAGAAGTGAAATCTTTTTTTTAAAAAATTGATCAGCCTGATTAAAAAAATAATTTTGCAGAGTACAATAAGGAATTTAATAAAAATTTTCCTTTTCTGGTTACGACATATGCTTTTTAGCTAAATGTCTGAGGAATATTTCAAAATTTCACTTCAGTATACACAAGAATATATATGAAATATAAAATAAAAATTTCCAGTTCATGCATACAGTAAATTTATAGAAATGAGAAAACACAGTTTAGAAAAGAAAATTTCAGAAAACAGTAGCTTTTATAAAATTTTCCTCATCAAAAAGATCTTGCACTATAGCCGGTTTTTACCTTATTTTTCTTAATATTATCTTTTTTTCTTTTATCTTTCTAATTTTCTTTGATCATCCAGAAAAAGCATGCTTGCTTTCATTAATTTTTCTCTATCGAGAGTTTTCATGGCACTTACCGAATATTCCCAGGTCCTACTGCCATTTACTGAAGTTTTTATTAATTTGGATACATTACCATCATTAAAGGAACAAACAGCATTATAAACACCAAGTGAAAGTGTTTCAATGTGCACAAATGTTGTTTTCGGAACCCGTGATAAAATGACATTATGAAAAACTTTCATTCGGGTTTTGTGTTTTTCGATGCAAAAATTATCTCAACAAATCAAGCTGGGAAAGATATCTAAATATAGAACTCATTGCTACTACAACAGCAACCGGAAGACTTTTTATGTTTGTAAGACTTACCCGATTCTTCAGCCTGTTTATATCCACACCATGAATTTTCACCAAAGGTCAAAAACAATGTTTTTATGTGCCCATTTTTTCATATACAATATTTCGAAAGAATATTGACATCTATCACCTTACCTGTATCAATGCTGGTCAAAGTAACTGCACCATTTGATGATGTGTAACCGCGTTTCTGCCATGTCCACAATATTATTATTGCCTTCATTTTCACAAATAGCTTCCCTCGCAGCATTTTGAATGGACTCCTCGTAAACAAGTTTTACATCATTGAGATTCGCTTACCGTAAGGAGAAAACCTTGTAGGTGGTTGCCGAAGATTCATTATGCTGCAAAACATTCTCCCAGCTTCTGCACATCTCCCAATGGAAAACGCAGCATATACAAACCTGGTATTTATTGTGGCAATTTGCATTCCTTCATGAATATTTAAAAAGAGAATTCTACATCATATGGACAAGCACAACATTTCAGGACAAATTTCCAGCCCAAACTTACCTTTTAAAACTTGCATGTCTAAACCACTTTTACACATTTTACAATGAACTTAATTCTTGAAAGCAAATGCAAGAATATTTTAATTCATGATGGTATTTTTAATACTTACTTTAATAAGAAGAAAAACTCCAATCAAACTTTATTTTGCACATGTCTCCTTTGAGTCATGTGTATGTCCAGCTTGAGGATTGACATTACTCTTTTAGTATTTGAAGTTCTGTTACTATGATTGAGAGTATTCATGCCTTCTTAAAATGTACCTTTATGTTTTTTATTTTTTTCTTCTAGCCAATAAAGAAACAAAAACTTCGAAATTTCAAAATTTCTGAATTTTAGAAATTTTATATATTTTATTTTAAAAACCCAAACACACACGATAAAAACGTGTATGCCCTCCAAAATAGGTAAACAACCTAACGGTTACGCTTGCAGTTAATCTACAGTTAATTGCGTATGAATAAATAAAACAGAGAGTGGCTTTGGAAAAGCTTCCCAGATTTAAGAGGTCAATGTTTACATTTCTATTATCAAAGGGGGCGTGGCTCATCAGCTGAATATTTTAAAAAATCATTTTAACATACTTTTAATTAGTAAAATGGCAAGTACGGTACATCATTGGAAAGGTCCTGATTTGGGGATTTTAGAAATATCAAAAACTCAAAATCGACTTCCCGAAGGTGTTTACCCTACTGACTCCCCTTTTAATGTATGATGCAATTATATGATATATATGTAATGAACAGAATAAATAGTAAAATAAATATGTAACAAATTAGGTTGAAAATGTTTAATTTTACTTTATTGATAGATATGAAACTGATTGGCAAATATTTGCACTCATACAAAAATATAAGAGCCTAAAATATGGAATAATATCCTTAACGTATCTGTGGTTTAAAATGTCGGCTGAAATTTTAACTCAGTATACCAGTTTTCAAAAAGGTTGAAGAATTCGTTATCACGGTTTACGCGTATGAATTCAATTTATTCCCATTGCTTTTTTGTAGTGTAGTGCATTACAAAAACTGGTTGATGGGATATTTTAAATTGCAAAGTTTATAACTAACTATTTATACTAAGTCTCAGCAAAATGATATATATACGTTTTTTTGTTTAACCTCAGCCTTAAAATATATTTCCCGAAAGTTAACACAGCTGATTTCTTGAGAAATATTTCAGTTTGAAGAAATGTTATAATTTACGTGTGAAGTTAGTGAAGTCAGAACCTTATAATTCATCTTATAGTGTAAAAATCACAAATATTAACTAAAAATGCTTCTTATTATTTTAAAACAATTTAACCATTCAAAACTTCTTTTAAAAATAAGGAACATAGATGTGTTGAAGTTTTGTTTCAGCGGGCAGATGAAACCTTAATTATTTATATTCGTCTTATTGCGTTTGTTTTTTATTACATATTTCTCAGAGAATAATTAATTACTTCAGTTTTAGAAAATTAACAACATCATAATTTATTATGTACGAAAAAAAGGACTGGCTTTGTAAACTTTATGCGTCAAATAAGAGAATGAATATTAAATATTATTTTTTTACATAACTTCTGAGCACATGCAAATTATTTTTAGTTAATATGCCTCGGAACAGTGATTTAATTTAAACTATTTTGTTTGTTAACTTTTATTATAATATTATGTATAAACTGGAATTTATTGCAAATATAAAATCTCAAAGCCATTGTTACGCAATCGTCACTAATTGAGAATGTTAACAAGTAGTATGATAAAACTAAATGAAAAAATGGAAGTTATAATTGAGGCAAAATGAAAAAGAAGAGTTGACGCATTACCCTTTTATATCCAAGATTGCGTACTAAAATTCCATGCATGATATTAATGATAATACTTTAAAACTGCATAAAATTTATTCAAACTATAGGCGTAGTGTTTTGATTTTTCAAAAATGCTTACTTCTCATTTCGGAGGATGATTTTTTCCAAGTATCTGGTTGAATGAAAAAAAAAGGCAAGCATATATTATTCTATTTCGCCAAATCAAGAGACGTAGCCAATTCAAAAAATATCGCCAAATACTATAAAAGTTTTAATTTTTATTTTGGATATGCGCTCAAATGGTTTCCACTATTAGCTGTTTATCAAAACATTTGGCGAAATTTTTTGATTTGATAGGATTGTAAGTACGAACAAGTAATATAAAAAAAATATTATAGTCAATTCCTATTTAGATAAACAAAGAAAAAATTTATTTGTGTTACTTTTCATTAAATGGATACAATTAATATAAATATGTATATACGACAGAGTCACAGTATTGAGTGACAAAACCTTAAGCGATTTTCCTAGCAATTTTTTTCCGTTATCCTTTTAAAATATGGAGTTGGTCAATTTTTGTTTGTTTGTTACTATTTATTAATTAAATTTAGTTATTCTAAAACAAAAGTATGGTATAAAAAATTATATTTTCAGAAATCAGGCCATCCCAGGTGAGATTCGAACCCACAACCTTTGGAATACAAGTCCAACACGTTATCCATTACCCTACAATAAACGATTTTCCTTTCTATGATGTCGGGCTATTTTTTTTGTGTTTGTTACTTTTTATTCATTTTTTAAAATTTAATTAATGAATTACTATTTGAAAAAATGTAATAACATCAAGTGTCATCCACTACAAGTTTAAAAAATTGTATTTGAACCTAAATGGATAATTGAAACATTTTATTAACGATTGAAATTTGAACAATATATATAAGGAGAGATGGATAATAGTAGGATAGAAAAAAATATAAATTAATCTTTAAGATTTCATTTGTTAGAATTTGATTTTTATCATTTCTGTATTTGAACCTAATGGATATTGAAATCATTTTATTAACGATTGAAAATTTGAACTATATATATATATATATATATATATATATATAAGGAGAGAGTGGACTAATAGTAGGAATAGAAAAAAACTATAAATTAATCTTTAAAGATTTCATTTGTTAGAATTTGATTTTTATCATTTCACATTCGATACTTTATGTGAAGAGCATTTATTTAAATTGAGACAAACAAAATTAAAATCGTCATTCTGTCAAATTTTAAGTGAGTTAAAGTTATCATACAACAGGTTGTGTGTTGAGTGAGTAAGTGAGTGATTTTAATATCTCACTATAAAACAACATGAGGGCTAGTGGTGGCTGAAATCATAATTTTGAGCCCCAATCAAGTAACGAGGACGATAACTGAGTGGCACCCCTATCTCCAAACTACCATACACATCAAAAGTAATATGTTGAAAAAAGTAATGAAATATTAATCGGATATAACGATAATGCTTCAGAAAAATTCCTCTTCAAATATTTTAATCTAAGATTCGTTTATTTATAACTCACTAAGAGATTCATGAAAAATAACCGATATTACAAAAAAGCGTGATAATTTATTTAAAAGTTCAATTTTTCTAAGAGATTAGTCATTCAACAAGATATTTACAAAATTAAAGTTTTTATCAAACTTTTTTTGATGGATTTTCTTCTATAATCAAATAAATTTACTGACAATTTTTCCACAAAATATACTATTAAGGTATCTGACTAGATTTTGAATTGGGCTTTTGTAAAAAAGGTATGAATGTATATAATTGTTTTTATATTTTGTGTCCCCTCAAATTGAATATACATTCAAAATTATTTTAAGAATAATATTAAAGTACACAAAATTATTTAACTGCAGTTTCTTAGCAAAAAATGAAGAAAGCATCCATACATAAAAACATTATCCTCTGATGAAAAATTCTTCCATAACAATAATATTTAACTACACATGAACCAGAATTTACGGTGCAAACTTTAAGGTATAGATATAGGATATTATAAGAACGAGTTATTGTATATTTAAGTATGGGCGCAAGTGACGCAGTGAATCACAGATACAAAAATGTGAAGAGACGAAAGGAAAGACAAAGTTTTTTTTTTTATTGAATTCGTTGTTGATGTTTGCAATGTTTTCAATTACTGCTCATTACTATTCAGCACATGATCTATGAAATCCAGCTACAGCGCACATTGCTGTCCCACCACTGGTAGTCGAAGATGTCGGATAGTCGGATTCAAAAGTTGTACTCGTTGAAAATGGAAGTGCTGCAAGCCATTTTTGTTTAACACTCTGCAAACGATCAGATGATTCACACCAACGTGATGAGCAACATATCTTGTTCTTGACTCTGGTCTATCAACCACTACGTTCAAAATGCTTTCTTCCAGGCTTGAATTGCATGCAGCTCTTCGTCGACAACCATCATGTCTGGTGAGGAGAAATGAACGTGTTTCACGAAGTTGACGACGTAACCGCTGATAAGTTCTGTGATCCGGCATTGGCTTATCACGAAACTTAACGTGAATCATTCGTAGCGCAGCTCTGTCGTTACCGTTTGCAAAGCCGTACATGTAATACATGTCTGCGTTTTCGGCTTACGTTAAGTCTCCCATCGCAGAGTCAGAACAATTGAGAATGGTGCTTTTGCTGAGATGCATCATGCCGAACGGTGGTTAGACATCTTCTTTTTTCTACCGGCCACGCAATCTAACAATATAACTACATTTCTCTCTTCTCTTTTATTTCCCTTGTCTGTGTCTCATCGCGACTTTTGCTCCCATACATTTCTATACAATAAATAATTGTTACAATATCCTGTATCTACCCTTAAAAGTACCCCAAATTAGGGACCACCCTGTATAGAGTTAAGAGTTTTGAACGGAACAAGAATTTTTGAAATTTAGAATTCAGAAGGGCATTTCTTAATATTTTAATATTTCATAGAATAATTTTAACAAAAAACGATGATTATTATAGTAGTTGATAGTAACTTTAAAAATAATATGAATTTTTCTTAAGCCCTAGTTCAGGCTCCGTAAAATTTTATCCAAATATAGACAAAATGTTATTATTATTATAGAAGAATTTTTCATAAATGGAGTATGTTTAAAAAATGCATATTTCTATCTCCGTTTTTGCCAAAAAAAGGCATTCAAATAATTTTTTTGTCGTAACACTCTTCTTAAAACACTTTTATATGAGTATTCTAGTTCAGGTGACTCTTAAATATAAAAAACCCCGTATATATATTATATATATATATATATATAATTAATAATTTGTTCCTGTACAAACGAAACTTATGGCTAAGATTGCACATAATACTACAACGTTTTAATAAGTAATTCTATATTCTTTCTTTTAATTCAAAATTATAAGAAATAAATGCTTTCGTTTTTAGAGATCAAAATTCTGCATCCACTTTTCAGAAGTTCATTAAAATAAGAAACGTACCCTGAAGCTATAAAGCTAAAACATAGGAAAGAAAAGTATTTTGCTTTACAATAAAATATAGTTTAAATTTATCTGCTGTCAATTTATTTTAAATTTATTAGTTATGCTCCATACATTAATAAGAACAATATTTTAAATTTACAGTTTTGGTAAGAGTCTAACTATTTCGAAAAACTATGCGGACATTTTATGTTTAGCATTTTTTTTTATTTCTTAAAAAAAATATTCAAGGAAATTGGAACTATAAAATAACATAAAAAAATTTTTTGACTTGCATATCTTATAACTTTTGATATCATTGAAGGAAAAAAATATATAAATTGTAGAAAAAAACTAAAATATCCATTTCATTCCTAAAATATTATACCGTTAAATCTGACATTTTTGCATTTCAACTTCAGTAAAATCTTCCAGAAAATTTAACGATTCTCAAAGAAAATCCATTAGAGTATTCCTTTTTCTAGAATTTCCATACATCTGAAGAAGGGAAAAAATGCATGTAAAGACCCTCCAAATAGAAGATATTTATAAAATTTCCATAAAAGCTAAGGTTTAAAATTAGTCTACACAGTTTTTAAGCCATTAATTTTATGAGATGGGAAAGAACATTAAAAGTAATTCGGAATGACTATTTTATTATTTGTTCAATTTTTGTAAATGCTCCTTCAGGAATAGAACCTTTAAAAATGAACAAGTAAAAATCTAATATAAAATATTGTTTTATATACATATATATATATATATTTTTTGTAGATCGGAATATGTAAGTTAGATCTTCACAATATTTAAATTTCTTATGAGCATAGTTTTTATACATTTTTATCATTCACTACCTTATGTAAGTTTCCTGTCTGGCCAATTTTATATATTTAAACACTGGTGAACCACAAATTTCAAATTTAAATAAACTGCTTCACTTATTTGATTGAATCGCATCTAACAGATTATTTTTAAATACAAGTAGAAGATAAAACTGCTACACTAGAATTTTCCACCTTTTAAAAACAAATATAACAATTTTCTCTTAGATTTTAGCTTATTTATAAATAAGTTTATCCTCAAAACATTTTCTTTTTGGTATGGATATTTTATAAGATTTTTTCTCTAATTAATTGTGTCAGTCAGTTAACAAAATAATTTTTAACGAACAGGTATTTTAAAAACTAGTTCTCAATTTATAACACAAATTACTAGAATTAAGCAATAAAAATGCAATAACTTATTATTTTTTTTAAATAAATTTATTTGCAAAACTCCTCATGCTCCACATTGCATAACATGAGCTTACAGACGAAGTGGTAACACATACAAAACAATAATAAAAAACAACAACAAAAAAACATAATTAAGAAGAAAAACATAAAAAGGGGCACAAAAAGGGGCATAAAGAGCCAAAACTAAAATAAAGGAAGGAGAAATACACAAATATAAAGAAAGGAAAGTATCTGTAAAATTTTAAAAATCTATACTGTAAACAAATTTTCTCAAGACATTAAGGCTTTCAGAACAATTGACTAACAAAGAAAAAATGGGTGGCCAGGAAATACCTAAGCATTTTAACTCCTTTTTAAATTTTCTCTTTACAACAATATAGATTACAATACAACAAGACATGTTCCGCGGTTTCAGCGTCCAGACCACAAGAACAAATATCATTATCAATTAAGTTAAACCTAAATAAATAGCTCTTAAAATTACCATGTCCTGTTAGAATCTGGGATAACTTAAAATCAGTAACAAATTTCTTACATTTAGCCGTTGATAAATGGTCGGGAAAAACTTTTTAGTCCATAAAGCTTTAGGTGAGGCCAAGAATTTGGAGATCCAGTTGGACACAGTTCTTTCCCAAGCTAAATGCTTCCAGTGGGACAATGGCACAGACATCGAAAGGCTCATATCTTGGCAAGTTGCTCTTTAGCTAACTGGTCCGCTCTATCATTGCCGAGATTTCCACTATGGCCCCGAACATAAGAAAAGTGGATATCACAGTCTTCAAGGTTGTACAGAATAGATTGAACCTCCACAACAAGTTTTTCTGTAGAATTTATATTGTGCAAAGAATAAAGCGAAGAGAGCGAGTCGGTGCAAATAAGAAATTTGAGAGTATCGCCCTGACGGAGAGAGTCCTGAATCACTTTTACGGCAAGATTAATGCAGAGTAGTTCGGCTTGAAAACAGAGCATTCATCTCTTATTCGATGCTGGAAAGTAGCTTTTTCAAATCCTT